ACAGGTGTTTTTCCCCAGACTTAGCAGGGGTGCTCCTTACATAATAATAAAACCACCTTACATTTGCTTAGCACTTTTAAAACATTATTTTTCATAGATCTTGATACATGACCTAAATTCATAAATGTATCTTTCTGCAGTATGAGCAATATTCTAGCTGGAAAAGCCATTGAATCTAAAATACTCAGTTACCACTTCCCTTAATTTGGGTACCTAAGCAGAGAGTTGGGAAATAAAAGCTGCAGCTGTTGTTAAGTAAAAAATAAAACGATTCAAGTATCTCCAGCCCCTAACAACAAATGAAGCTCTTGGTTCAAAGTTAGAAGGTTTTCATCTCAGGCAAGTGAATGGCATCGTGAGATGTGTTGAGGGAGAAAAGTATGGACGTGAGCAGAAGGGAGACTGAGAAAAATAGTCCCAATGTGTCAATAACTCAGCAGCTTGTCCATGGAGGCGGGGAAGGGAGGGGGCAGGAATACCGTGCTCACCCCGCAAGCCCTCCCAGGCCCCGTATGTCTCAGTCCCTTTCTTTTCCATGTTTGGCCTCTGAAAACGCACTGGACCCATTAATGAATCTATTCCTGGATTATATCGAGGGAGGGAAGGAGGGGAGGAGGGGAGGAGAAGAGGAGGGAGGGAGGGAAAAAGCCAAGCTCCAGATGTGAGCCTCGATTTGTGAATGGCCTCTCATCTTAATCCCTCTAAACAGGAAATCATAACAGCTGGCCTGAGGTCTCAGATCTGGGTCAATTGAAGCCTAATCCCTTCTTCTCCTCTAACCCTCAGCCTCTTCTCCTGCTTCCATCTCTTAGCACGGTAAATACATCCCCACACCCCACAAACATATTTGTTTGGTAGGTATGTTTTGCTTCGCCCCACCTTTGATGCTTCCATCAAACAGGAAAGGAAGGTCATTTCCAGGGCTTCCTTCCCAAGGTGTTGTGTCTCAGGCAAGTGAGGAGGGAAGGGCAGGGAGAGGAAGAACAGCTGCTCCCCTCATTAGGGTGTTTTTTGCTACAAATGTATGTGGGGAATGCATTTGGGGAGAGGATTAGGTGGAGGGGGCTTTGCGCTTTGCTGATTAGTACTGTTCCCAATTATGGCTTGACAACATCTCCTTGCCATATCTCATTTCAAAGTAATGTCCCATAGAATTATATACCTGGTAACACTCAGCAGTAAGACCCAGCCTACCAAGGACCTATGAATCAAGACTTCCTCTTAAAATTTTTTTATTTAAAGGCATTTTGGTGAATTTTAACTATGCTCCCTTCTATTTGGCTCTCCCTGGTCTGGCCTAAGACGTCCCGAGCCCTCTCCTCCAACTCCCAACACCTTCATGTTTCCTTACAAAGATGCTGGCCAAGGAATTGTGGGGAGGTGGGGGAAAACAAGTCTCCCTGGTCTGGGGGTGACAGCTTCCCTTGTGGAGGAGACGCTATTGTGGTTTTCTTCAGTTTCCTTTTTTGATGGAGAGGAGATTCAGGCGGATGGGGTCATTTGAAATGACTGGTTTTCCAGAGCGCTAGCGAGGGGCCTGGGAAAACAGCTCCCAGTGTGCGTCCTTTCCTTAAGAAATCCAAGATCTCAGCCCTGCCTGGGGATTGGCGGCGGAGCCCCGCCAGAGCGCCGAGAGATGCTTCAGAGAGTGGTCCCCCCACTCCGCAGAGCCTCTCTCCCCCTCGAAAGGGAGGAGCAGAAGTAGCCTGAGCCCCCGGCCCTCGCCTGGGCCCTGGACTGGCTGGTTAGTATTTTACTGGTTTGCAGGGTGCATCCGTCCTGGCTGTTGCTTGGAACCTCTCATCGCATTCCTGACGAGGTTCCTGGGTCTGTCACCCCCTTCACGGTAGGGGAGCAAAATCAATGTTTTATAGGAAACACCGGTGGCCTAATTCCAGTGAAATCTTATTTTTCCCTCCTCCTGTCCTCTAATACTTTATCCAATAGGGGACGCTTTCCCCTTGACCTAGATGAAATTTCAGCAAATTCCATGTTTTTATTTTTTATTTTATTCTTATATAATAAACAGAGCTACAGTAACTTTAGGTCTCAAACACTGTCTCAATTTAGGAATTAAATGGCACAATCCAAACTATTAAATCATTTCTATCCACAAAGTTGTTTTAGTCCGCAAAGTGGAGGCAGCTTGTGTAGTAATAGATAATGCAGTAACACATAACCTGAATAAAGGGCCAAAACAGGTTTAATTCACCACTTACCCTATGTGGCCACCCGAATGAGTCTTAAAATTTTCTGGGTAGGGCCCACATCCACAGTTTATTTAGCTAATCTCAGAAGTCATGGTTTAATTCCTTTCTCTCAGTTTCCCCTCCCTCTCTGCTCCACAGGTGAATTCCTTTCTCTTAGTACAATTGCATTCAACACATACTTATTGAAATTCACACTGTGGGCACGGTGTCTTGTTTGATGTTGTAAAGCAAATCAGAGATGTGTAAAGTATGGCCCTTGATTTCAAGCTATCTCTCTCTATATATATCATATCATCTATCTATCATCTATCTATCTATCTATCATCTATTTATCTATTTATCTATCTATCTATCTATCTATCTATCTATCTATCATCTGTCTATTATCTATCTATCTATCTATCTATCTATCTATCTATCTATCTATCATCTATCTATATCTATCTATCTCTATCATCTATATCTACCTATCTATCATCTATAGATAGATAGGTAAATGGTGTAGTAGATACTATTTATAGGTGGGGTCAATAGACAAATACATGCATATATATGTATATAAACACACACACAGATAAAGATATTCCAGTGGGAGTGGAGAGGGAAAAGAGACTAAATTACGTAATGGAAAGAGTTCTTATTTAATTTTTAAATTTAATTTATCTTTATTGTTGAAAGTATTACAGGTGTCCCCTTTTTTCCATTGATCCCTTCCACCCTGCATCCACCCCACCCCCAGGCCTTCCCCATACCAATGTCTGTGACCATAAGTTATGCATATAAGCATATAAGTTCTTTGATTAATCTCTCCCCACCCACTCTCCCACCCCCATCTTCCCTCTGAGATCCCTCAGTCTGTTCCATGTTTCTATGTCTCTGGATCTATTTTGTTGATCAGTTTATTTTGTTTATTAGATTCCACATATGAGTGAGATCATGTGCTACTTGTCTTTCTCTGGCTTATTTCACTTAGTATAATACTCTCCAGGCCCCACCATGCTGTCCTAAAGGGTAAGAGATCCTTCTATTTTACAGCTGCGTAGTATTCCATGGTGTAAATGTGCCACAGCTTTTTTATCCACTCATCTACTGATGGGCACTTGGGCTGTTTCCAGATCTTGGCTATTGTAAATTGTGCTGCGATGAACATAGGGGTGCATAAGTTCTTTGTGATTGGTGTTTTGGGTTTCTTAGGATATATTCCTAGAAGTGGGATCACTGGGTCAAATGGCAGTTCAATTTTTAATTTTTTGAGGAATCTCCATACTGTTTTCCATAGTGGCTGCACCAGTCTGCATTCCCATGGAAAGCTTTTTAAAAAGCATATTGGCACAGTTGCTTTATAGAGACAAAACAAAGTATCTGAGGATGGAGGAAAGGGAGTATTATTACATCTCACCGGGGTGATCACAGAGTAGGACCTAGCAAGCTCTCCATGGGCTGGCTTTCCTCCACTTCTTTAGCCCAATGGCAAAGAACTCTCCTCCAGCCCTCTGCATCTACTACATTAACTTCCCTTCAGCTCCTCAAACCAGCCCTGCCCCTCCCTCCCTAGGGCCTTGAGATATACTCTTTCACCCAGAATAGATCATTCTCCCTACCCCCCACCCCCACGTCAGAAAGCTTCCCTGGCTCCTAGATGGGGTTAGGCTCTCCACTATTCTCACAGCACCCTATATTCTAGATGGTACCCCTTAAAATTGTTATTAAACAACCAATATAAAATTTCAGTGTCTTTTGCCATCCCCAGGATGCAATCCCACAGAGGAAATATGTCTGTCTTGGTCAACAATATAGTCCCAGAACCTGTAGCAATGCCTTGCACATAGTAGGTACTCAATAACTATTTCTGAATGGATTAATAAATGTGGCATTTAGGACTTTTTCTCTTCTCCCTTTCCTCTCCTTTCCAGCCCAACTCTCCTTTTTTTCAATGCCTTATTTCTCAGAATATTCTTTTCCCTTGGTTCTGCACACCTTCCAAGCCCTCCTGTGGTCTGCAAGGACAGGTCTTGAACAGAGAAAGACCTCCCATCTGTTCTCTGTATATCTCAGTCTAGGGAATATAACCTAGGTGCTGCAAATAGTTCCTCCAGAGACGTTATTTGGGGTTTGGAAGGAGGTTGCTACTCAAAGTGTGATCTTGGACAGGAGTATCAGGGACACCCTGGAGCTTGTTTGAAGTGCAGTCTAAGCCCCACCGGGGGTCAGGTTCTGACTTTTAACTAGATGCTCAGGTGAGGGCGCACATCAGCAGCGCTATAGAAGAGCTTATCTCCTAGGATTAGGTGGGTGGAGAAGAAAGCAGGCTTAGCCGTGGGACAGCTCGCCTGTGTCTTCTTAGAAGAAGACAGCGAGATGGAGTTAGGAGTACAAGAGGTCTGTGAGACGTAACAGAAGAAAGATAGAAGAACCTGCAGAATGCCCTCGGGAAAACCTTCAGGGCATGATGCTGCTCTGACTCTTGTGAAAGGAAGGAGAGGGGAAGAAAGGGTTGGATGGAGAGTGTCTCGGACTGCAGTGTGTTTCTTACAAAGACTTGCCAACCCAGTGGGGAGATCCCAGCGCAGGGACTGCACAGTGGCAGTCTGCATTGGGCAGAAATGGCCTGGTCCTTGTAACCCTGCTGCACCCAGTCATTGGCAGAGGGCTGCCCAGGAAGAGCGTGGCCTCTGCAGGGGAACCAAGGCAGAGCCAGAAGGGGCTACCAGCTGAGGCTGTCAGCTAACTGTACTCCTTGAAGCTAAAAAGTAAGTTCTTTCTTTAAGGGAGACTCAGCAGTATACACCCATGGCTGCCACATGTGACATCTGGAGGTAATTTTGCAAGGAATCTGTGAAAGCTAGTAAATATATGGAAAGCAGATTCAAGAAATTACCACATTAAAGGAAGCCGGACTTACGTGCTTTTTTCCAGGACTATTTGTGTTGTACTGATTCTTCAGGGAACAGTCTCCCCAAGGGCCCCTGGAAGACAAGGTCCAGAGAACATTTTCCCTTAAGGACCCCAGGGAGAGCCCGTGTGAACCAATGTGGCGTCCCTGTATTTACAAGATGCACAAGTCGGTAAACAAGATGCAGAGGCCACATTTTCTGAGAGCAGCCTCTGCCAGCTCAGTAAGCCCCAGGCTCCCCAGAGGCAGACCTGATCCTGACTCGAAACCTCAGAACCAGAGAAAAGAAAAACCCAGAGCAGATCAGCAGGAATGGCAGAGGTCTGGGAGGGGAGTGTGAGCCCTGAGGTCAGCCAGTGATGCCTCCACATACTGATTTTCATTTTCATGCCCCTTTTTCACTGAGGCACGTCTGCAAGGATAGCCCACCACATGTACAAAGTCACACACAATGAAAACATTTCCACCTGCTGAAGTCACATCACCCTCATGTACACTTCAAAAAACCACATGCACATACACTCTCCAACCTGACACGAGCTTGTATGTCCACATCCTGCTATTTCAACAGATGCTTGTCACATGGTTCCAAGTTTCCAAAACATCCCTTATGTGTAGATCACAGACAAGAGGCTGTAACATCCATGCACATAAACCCCAAACAACACACAGGAACAAAACTAATCAGACGTTCAAAAACACAGTGACTTTACGGTAACTTAAAACTAACAAACCTCTGGAACTGCCAGACATGCCTTGAAAGATATTTCCCTTGGCTATTGATGTCCAGCGAAGCCCTGCAGCAGCCGGAGCAGGGGCAGAGAGCCTAGTGTGCCAACCCAGAAGGACTTTGCTGTTATCTTAGCCATTTCCCTGCCTCCTGCAGGAGGGAACTAAAGCTCTCAGGGCTGATGTTTCGGGGATGTTATGGGGAGAGAGCTCTTAAATCTGGAAAGGAGGTTACACATTTCTATAGAGGAGTGGAGTAGAGGGAGCAAGAGCCCAAACTCTCTGCTTGCCTGGGTTTGAATCCCAGCCTTGCCACTCTCTACCTGTATGACGTTTGGCTAGTTAGTCAGTCTCACTGTGTCTCCTTTTCGTCATCTATAACGTGAGGATAATAGTAGTACTTACAAAACAGGTTGCTGTAGGAATACACCAGTGTTGAGAATGGGCCTGGTGCATGGAAGAGCAAAGTAAGTGCTGGCTATTATTCTACTCCTGGGAGGTCTGCAGCCCTGGGACTTCCACAGCCTCCGTGGTTCTCTGTTATAAACTGTCCCGACACAGACCTCCATGCAGTTGCTAGCTCCCTTCATCAGGCCCAGGGACAGCTCTCACCAGGATCTCTTCACCCCTCCTCCCCTTCCCTGTTTAGGTTTTTGCAAATGGATTTGTGGAGAGGGCGGAGGGATTGTGTTTCTGCAGGGATATGAGACCAGGCAGCAAACTTTCCAGACTCCTGTAGTGCTCGGTCTGCCTTGCTGACCACTGCTGTCTGGACTGGGAATGAGGGCTTTCCCCGGGGCAAGGGCAGGTGCCAGCCTAGTTACCTTTTGCTGTGTTTGTAGGAAGTTGGGAAGAGACATTCTTCTCCATTGGCCTGGAGATAGATATATGTATCAATCATCAATCTATCTATCATCTACCTATCATCATCTATTATCTATTTAATCTTTCAAGGTCTATAGCTCTGCCACGCCCCTTCCAGTGTGAAAGCTTTCCCAAAGGAGAGAGGACCCTTATTCCTCCAGGGCAGAAATGTGAAAAGGACTGTAGTCTCTTCTCTCTTACTCCAGCGCAGCCAAGGACTCATCCCTTCAGCCCATGACAATTCATTTTCCCTGGAGTCCACTCTGTGTTCAGCGGGCCCCCAGGTGAGCTGAAATCCAGAGCTGTTCCCATCTGGTTGCCCTGGGAGTTTCAGCGCTCTGGGTACAACCTGTTCCTCCCTCCCTGCCTCGCCTGGCTGCGACCTTTTCAGCGCCCCCCCTCCCCTGCCCGGGGCCCCAGCTGCGCCCTCCCGAGAGACTCCCGCTGCCACGGTGCCTGGAGGGGAACCGGGAGGGGAGGAGAGGGGAGGGG